TTTCTCTATTTTTAAAAAGTAAATTGTGGCACTTGGAAGCTTCCAGAAACAGCAATTAACTCTTGACTACAAGGAACTTGGACTGGTGATTCTGAATACATCAAGGGACATAAAAATTTCCTCGGGGCCAATGCAATCCCAGGGCTGGACTTTGACCACCACGACCCTGTGATGTAGGTTAGGTAAAAGGCAGTGCCCACACACAACTGGCTTCATGGCTGAGTGGGAATTTGATTCTAAAACTCTAACCCAGGGCCTTCCAGGTGTTGCAACTCTTAACTCTCATCCTTCCCAATCAACATGTGAGTCAGTTGTACTTCCATAATGGGCTCCTTGTTGTCTGCTGCAACCCTTGGTCCATAATGGATTCACCTGCATGCACTGGCTACTTTGCAAGGAATTTTTGCAGTCCCTCATGCAGCACTAATTGCTGCAAAGGTTGGAGGGTTTTCTGTTTCTGAGTTACAAAGAACTCCAGGGTACATTTTAAAATGTTTTTTCCTACACAACCCTAAGCCACCCACATTTTGACCTTTCTATCTTTTTTAGCAAGGGTTTGCAAAGATCACAACCTTTTACTTTTCTTTCTCATCAGTGCAGTGCAGAGGAAGGTGTGGAAAGCCATTAAAACTTTAGAAGTTGGGGCTTTCCTAACTGCTCCAAAATTTGTAAGGGACCAAGTGATGTGTAGGGGAGTAGAATGGGAATGTAAAGGGGGGAAAGATGAAAAGCCAAAAGTAAGCAAAAACCATGTTAGATGAAGAATGTAAAAAGACCATTCACTGTAATCCTATACATCTCTGATCAAATGTTGAGTTCAGGGTGAGACTTCTTAGAATTGTAGCTTAAGTGGTGTGTAAATCCATGTTGTTATTGTGTGTCCCCATGTCTTCCCCAGTTTATATTAAGCCTAAGGCAACCTTATCATGTGGCATTCTTGGCAAGATTTATGCAGAGGTTTGCCATTGCCTTTCTCTTAGACTGAGTGTGACCTCCCCAAGGGACATCCCCTAGGGAATTTCTGTGCCTGAGGGGATTCAAATCCTGGTCTCTCAGTGTCCCTATCCAACACTCACAGCACAGCACTATGCTGAGTTTATACATAGGCATATGGGTAAAATATCCAATGCTAAATTATCTGATACTAGAAGTAAACAACTGTAGGCCTATCTCTTTTATAAGCTACAAGTGGCTCTTAGAAGCTTCTGACTATCCACCGTTTGAAACAGAAAGCTGGAACTGATGGGAACCTTTTGGATAGTCCAGCAAGACCATTTGTTTATTCAGAGAAGGTACCACAATATGCAAGGATGTGACTCAAGAGCATAGAAAACTATATTTATACCAAGTCAAAGCAGAGTAGATCACTGGTGCATCTTGCCTAGAATAACCCACTGCAGCTGAGAGCAGATCTTCATGGTTTCAGACAGAATTCTTTCCTAGCCGCCCTGAAAAGGTCAGGATTTAACCTGGGACTTTCTGTGTCCAAAGCAGATGCTTTATCACTAAGCCACAGCCTTGTATTTGCATT